AAGACTTCGAAAAATTCTTGGAAATCCAAGTAATACCGGGAATAAATCCCAATCTCAATTTGTTGAGTCTTGTGTTTCTTTTAGAACACTTATTTGCTCCACCCCCTTAGAAAAAATAAAGGTGAAATTAATCATGGAATTCTTGATCAATCAGGCTCCAACCTGGGGTCTGTAGGTCTACACAACACAGCCCCAGCAGGCAATATTTCCCAAGGAGCTGAAGAAGTGACTCCTTCATGGGAGAGCCAGCGTGTCCTAACACATCTTAATTTGTTGTTTACACATCTCAAATTATTATTTTTTATTTTTCTTTAAGCTAACATTGAATGCTTAATTTAACTGATGAACTTGGTTTGAAATTTAATAATATTTAATTATCTCAACTTAGTCACTGTAAAAAAAAATGTAATAGGTACCAGGTAAATGATGCCAGACCATTCTTTCATTAAAGGTATAGTTATAATACCTGTGGTCTGTGTCTTGGGTGTGAGTGAGTAGTTAGAGTGAGAACTTGGCATGTGCAAAGCCCTGAGTTCAAGCCTCAGCCCAAAAGAAAGGAAGAGGGAGAAGAAAAGAAGGAAGGAATGAGGGAGACAGGAAGGCAGGAAGGCTAGCTGAGTGGTTTTAGAGAAATCTTATTCCCCACGTGATAGGTAAGGAAAGTAAGAATAAGTAGGCAGTAAGTGCAGAATAATTTGCTTAAAATGATACAGTCCAAATTTTTTCTTTTTTAAATTTCTGCACTTTGGCATGTGAGTGGTGTGTGTGTGTGTATGTGTGTGTGTGTGTGTGTGTGTGTGTGTGTGTGTACATGCCTGTACACACTTACAGAGGCCAGGAAATGATCTAGGGTGTTCTGCTCTATCACTTTCCAGTTTATTTCCTTGAGAAAGGATCTCACACTTAACCTGGAGCTATGCTAGCAGCCAGCAAGCCCAGGGTAGCTCCTGTACTCACCACACTACAACATTTGCATAACAGGTGCTTGCAACCCCGCCAGGCTTTCTGTGTGGCTTCTGGGGATCTGAAGTTGGGTGCTCATGCTTTTTAAAATTATTATTATTATTATTATTATTATTATTATTATTATTATTATTATTTGTGTGTGTGTGTGTGTGTGTGTGTTTCCTTCATATATGTCTCTGTACCACATGTGTGCCTGGTACCTGCAAAGGCCAAAAGGTGTTGGATCCCTGGAACTGGAGCCACAGAAGGATGTGAGCCATCACGTGGGTATAGTGACTTGAACTCAGAACCTGCTGTAGGATATTCTCTATGCTGTGAATGTGTTGCTCTGATTGGTTAATAAATAAAGTGCTGATTGGCCAGTAGACAGGCAGGAAGTATAGGCGGGAGAAAGAGAGAGGAGAATTCTGGGAACAGGAGGGCTGAGGCAGGAAATGCTGAGAAACAAGATGTAAGGGTACCGGTAAGCCACGAGCCATGTGGCAAGTTATAGATTTATAGAAATGGGTTAATTTAAGATAGAAGAATTAGATAGCAATAAGCCTATCACGGCCATACAGTTTATAAGTAATATAAGTCTCTGTGTTTGCTTGGGTCTGTGCGGCTGTGGGACTGGTGGGTGAGAGAGATTTGTCCTGACCGTGGGCCAGGGAGGACCAGGAAAACTTCAGCCACAAGAACCTCTGCAAGAGCAACCAGTGCTTTTAACCCCTGCACCACACCTCTCCACACAGGTGCTTGGGACTTTGCTGTGTCCTTTTTGCCCTCTAAGCCATCTCTTCAGCCTCCTTATACTTATTCTAACCATGGTCTTACTAGGCACATTGTCTTTGGCATTTTTTCCCAGTAACAAAAATCTAATTAATATTGTTCCAACATACCACACTGTGTGTATGTGCATATACAGTGGTTATAAGGTGTACTGCTAGTTTTTTGTTAAAAAAAAAAAAAAAAATACTACCTTATTCATTTATGATAGTGCTATAGTGTAATTTAACAAAGGCTTCTGGTAAATTAGTGATGCATTATGGGAAACTAAGGGAATGATATCAAGACACTGTGGAAATCTGGCTATTCTCATTTGTCCCCAGTGTGTTAACATCTTGTGCCAAATGATGACAGAAACAGAGTGACTGTATACCAGAGGAGCTAGCTGCAGCAAAGCATGAAGGGATAGCATGTGATCCTCCAGGCCCACTTCCCCTGCATGCTTCCTCCTCAGGTTGACCATATGCCCTGTGCTTCCTGGGAAACTCTGCTTGTAACTCATGTCTTAAACAGCCTGGTCTCCTTCTCTCTAGCTTCTTCCTGCACATTCCTTCCACCAACCTCCTTTTTAACTTATTCTTGAAGTTCAGTATTTCTTATGGTGTCTATTTTATATACAGTTCAAGACACCCTTAAACTTCAGTTCTCATCACAACAGTTTTGTTGGTAATCTATTCTCAAAAGGACCCTAAGTTTTGAATGTCCACCTGTCTTTTGCCAAGGGGAACTATTTGATAAAGCAGAGGTGGTAGTTTGCATGCATATATCACAATGGAGAGGAAGTGACTGTGCAGGTATCTGCACGGGCAAGCCAGACCGTAGCAGAAGGGTGAAGGATGTGAAACTAGTGTCTCAGGCTGAATACTGGCTGCACTCGGCCATTGACATACAAGGGAACCTCATGCATTGGCTGGCCATCATCCTAGCAGCTCACAGATGAGAACATGTATGCCATTGGTCATCTAAGCCTGTATTTGCTCTACTGAGCACCAGAGCTAATAGCCTCCATTTGACAAATGGACCGAAAATGTGCTGCGTCCAGCATGGCATGTAGCATGCCTGTTCCTTCTTTCTGATTTTAGTGCATGAACAGAAAAAATGGGGTAAGCATAGTTTTAGGAGGTGGGAATGTAGCTGGTCATCTGTCAGTCACAACAAGTCAAAATGTCTGCCACTCACCAGTGGAGCCTCACAATGGAAGAGTGATCTTCAGTTTGAAAAGAACAGAATTCTAGGTCTGTCAAAATGAGAAAAGCCCTTTCCTAACTATCTCATGCTATGGTAACAATGCTGCAATGTCCCTGAGTCAAGGAAATACTCGGTTATGCTCAAACACAATCATTCTGGAAGGGGACATCTAATCTACTTTAAATGCATTTTGAACAAGATGGTTATGATTTTAAAGTTCTGAAGAATGGATTAGAAAATCTAGCATCCACGAGTTCTTTTGAAGAGCCTCTCTGACTCTTTAGCCTCTGTAATCTTGATCTCAACACTGACAATATCAACCCAAAATTTTTGAGCAAATATTTAAAAATGACCCCAGGGTTACAATGAAGTCACGCAGACTTGTTAGTAGGCTGCAGCTATTACTGACTTCCTTAGAGAAAAATGATACAGAGAAAAGGAAGTTGTGCTCAAATGAAAGCCAGAGTGGCTTTGATGAGGTAGATTTGAAAAATGCAGCTTTACCTTTCCATAGAAATAATCATGAGTAGGAAATTACTCTATTTAGAGAACATTGGGTTGAGAATTTCTTTGTTTCTCACTACACCACTTTCTACTTTTGATAGCTCATTTAATAACTAACCATTCTATTTTTAAATGAAAAATAATAAATCAGGACCATGTTGTGTGTCAACCAAGGATTAAAATGCTGACCCTGTGTACCAGCTGGGTAGTTCCAGGAAAAGCCTGGAGCAAGTCAACCTTAGCAGACATGTCAGATCTGGGCTTTACTGTCCACTGGCACCTTGAACTCTGGCTCATTGTCCTCCTCTTATGCAAAATGGAATTAAGGTGGACTATCTCCTAGAGCTGTTAGAAGATTTACATTGGATTTGTACAACTGAATAAACACTGGACACAGGACTTCCCCATAAATTGTAATCTGTAATAAAAATACATAGTCTAAACCTCATAATACTTGTGAGGGGCTGATAAGGAAATCAGTATATGAACATTATTCTTTGCTTCTTCATTCTTAATACTATTTTTCTTCCTCTGAAAATGTCACACATTTATATAATGCATTTTGTTCATACCCACCCAATATTATCTTCTCATTCTAGCTTCTAGTATCTCCCAGTATCCTTCCCAATTTCATGTCCTCATTTTTATTTTATTCATAGCACCCAGAGAATAAAAAGTGATGACTACATGCCAAAGGATGTGGTACCATTCACTGGAGCCTACCAGTGGTCACATCCTCAAAGGAAACTAACCATCCTCTGTCCACAGGTTTAAATTGCCAATATGGGGATGGGGCCTTGGGACCTCCTCCCCTATCTGTGGAGGAATGTTGGCTTAATCTTGTATACATAGATCTTGTACAGGCAACTGCTGCCTCTGGGTTGCAATGTTGCATTAAATCTCTAAAGGAAAAATATATGCAGGGATGCCTAAAACAAGGCAGAATGGAGTGCAATTCACATCTACTAATAATGTTGAATTATACTGGATATGTCACAATATTTTAAATATAGGCAGCAACATAGTATGAAACAAAAGGTGAATTTAATGCAAGAATTTATAAGATTTTAGATATCAACATTTTAAAACTATAAATTATTTATACTTCTTCAGGCAGTTTAATGTTTAGTAATTGTAATTGACACAAAATTATTATGCATATTTGTGGGGCACAGTGTGACATTTTAATACATATGTACAATGTGTGATGAATGACCAACTCAGGACACAGTCACACCCATCATTTTAAATAATGATTCACTTCTCTCTGTTGGAAACATTCAAAGTCCTCTCTGCTAGCTATTTATTAAAGTATTTATCAATTAAAGATTTAAGCAATTAACTAAGGTTAAATAAGGATATTTTCAATTAAAACTTGTATTCTGCTTTGTATTTATAAATTCTATGAGATTTTATTTATAATTGTATTTGGCCGGCATCAATGCTTCAGAAGAGGACTTTTGCTTTACATCATGTGTGCAGGACTTCATTTAGTCTTCTTGCTAGTTCAACCAGCCTTCTCTTTTCAAGGTAAAAATACCCCATTTTGTTTTGTTTCCTTTGTCTCCTTACAGATTGCTAGATGCCAGATAACTGTTTGTCGTATCTTTCGATTCTGGTCTGGTATTCTAACTTGATCCTCAAGGGCAAATTGTCCTTCTCTGTTTGATTTCTCAGAAACCACAGTAAGTGCATGTTTAATGGTTAACATAATAGCTACACATGGAGAAATACGATGCTGTGGGTCTTTGGGTTTTCTGGTACTCTTGGTAGAACAGTCTTGTGAGCTAAAATGTTGTCTCGTGAAGCACAGCTTTAGTGTTTCCTAAATATGAAGGCTACTGCATATCACATGGAGTTGCCATCATGTAACTTTACTTCCAACACTGCTGAGAAATAGCTTTGTGATTAAAAACCATGCCAGTGATAAACACAAGGGGGAATGAAACAGTCCTCTCCCACAAGGAGATACATTACAGTTTTGTTTGGAAGCTCTGAGGAGGTAAAAGCGTTTTAATGGGGGGAGGGGGTGAAAGACTCAATAAATAATTTACTTTGTCACTCATCTCAAGGCCAGACCTGAATCTCAAACCACAGCCAGTTGTGATTGCATGAAGGTACATCAGATGATAGTTTATCCTTTATTGGATCTAAGGAACTGGATTTAAGGATGAAGAATGTCTTAAACACTGATCTGAGTAAACCCATTAAAAATAGAACATTACCTAAATGTTGAGTAACTCAGACTTAGAAAGACAGAGACAATCACATGTAAAACTAAAGCATTTTGGCCATTGAGAAGAAAGGTTGTGACCTGGCTTCTTGCCTGTCTCCATTCCTGACCTTCTTCCTTTGAGTTCAAAGAGATTAAATCAACTTTCCCGAGCCAGCCATGGATGAGAACATCGAGGACACATTGGCTGTGAGATAGAGAAGGAAGAGAAGGAGAAAGGGACTATGAGATAATGGGTCTTTTCCATCTCTGCATCCTGGGTTTCTGCCATTCCTTCCCACACAACCCAAACTCCAGCCACACCGGCTTGTTTGCCATTCCCCAAACACACCCCACACTTAACTCAGAACACCCTTGCACATACTGTTCTGCTGCCCTCACAGTGCCACCTCATCTCCGTCTTGCAAACGCCCACTCATGTGCAGGAGGCCTCTCCCACCCTTTGAAATCCAACTCAATTCACAAAAGAGGTGATCAGCCTCTCCTGCTGGCGTCCTGTTTATTCCCACTCTCACTCCACGGAACTGAAATGTATCTCTTTAGGCTTTTATTCCTCTTCTGAAATGTATCTCTTTAGGCTTTTATTCCTCTTCTGAAATGTATCTCTTTAGGCTTTTATTCCTCTTCTGCTCGGCTACAGAAAGAGCTGAGCACCTAACTAACTTTTATTCAATCTCTCATAGAGAGCTCAACCATGAAGAATGGGGGCCATACCATGTGGATCATTTTAGATAAACAGTGACCGAGACACTGACCCTAACGAGAACGAGGAGAGACAGGTAGAGGTGTAGATCTAGGTAAGAGAGAGGGTTGAGGTAAAGGTAGAGGTGGGGAGAGGGTTGGGAATGGGGCTAAGGATAGAGATGGGGTGTGTAGGGCTGTGGATAGGGTTGGGGAAAGGGACAGAGACAAAGACAGAGATAGGAGACACAGAGATGGCAGTACAGACTGGTATGGAGAGGCGAGGCAGAGGCAGGAATTGTGCTTTGTTTGTTTCTCTGAGGGAAACCTCAGGGACAGAGTGCACAGAACCTTTGTGCATGTGTTTACTCTGAGGGCTGTAATTTGGAGGAGTGCGGGACAAAGTAGAGTTAATTAGATTTGCGATGAAACTGCCTGGTACATGAGGACTGGGAGCAGAGGACAGTAAAGCTCCACTGTACTCAGGGTTATTTTATTTAAATTGAGTTTGGGTGTCTTTAATATTGAGTTCTGTGTCCTGGGAAGTATAAACTATATATTTATTATTTATTTATCTATTTATTTATTTTTATATTTTATTTATTTTTATTTTTTCATTTTTCTTTATTAAAAAATTTTCTACTCACTCCACATACCATCCACAGATTCCCCTTCCTCCCTTCTCCTAACCCCCCCAGCCCTCTCTCCCAAGCAGTCCTGCATCCTCACATCCCCCAAATCAAGGTCTCCCATGGGTAGTCAGCATGAGCCTGACACATTGAGCCTAGGCAGGTCCAAGCCCCTTCCCACTGTACCAAGGCTGCGCAAGGTGTCACACCACAGGCACTGGATTCCCAGAAGCCTGCCCATACACCTGATGCCCCTGCCTAGGTGCCCCCCAAACAGTTCGAGCCAAACAACCGTCTTCTATATCCAGAAGGCCTAGTCCAGTCCCCTGGGGGCTCCACAACCACCAGTCCACAGTTCATGGGCTTCCACTAGAGTGGACGGTCATCTCTGCACATCCTCCCATCATGATCTCAACATCCCCCACCTGTAGAATCCCTCCTCTCTCTCATCCGGATTCTCGGAGCTCAGCCTGGTGCCTGGCCTTGGATCTGTATATTTTTTTTAAAGCATACACACAAAAGAATTATTCAGCCAATGAAAAGCTGGTTTTTAATCAAGTGGCTGAGAGTCTTATCACACTAAAGTATATGAAGGTGGAATCTCCATCCCAGCCATGCTAAACAAATAACCCTATAAGAGGTTAAGTGTCACAAACAATTGAGAAAGAAAGAAACCTGAAACACCTTTTTTTTTACATGCCAGGCAGCCTGCTATCAATACCAATCAATGAAGAAAAAAAAAAAAAAGAGCCCCTCGTCATGCACAGGTGATCATGTGGTGTCAAAGAAGGCCACATTCATGAAGCACCTGCTATGTTTAGAGATACCTTTAAAATGAAAAATCAAGACACAGTCAACATAACACCAATGCACCAAAGAGCATAGCCCAGATGAGATAATCTGCAAGAGAGGAGTAAAAAAAAAAAAAAAATGAGGTAATGCTGTTGAGAGGATTATACTCAAAATATGGCAAGACATCAATAGCAAATGAGAGGAGGAGTGAAAGCTTCTCAGCTGTTAGCAATAAGGCCGCCACAAATTTGCAAGATGTATTAACTGCTTCAGTAACCAGTAGTTGAAGAAGCTTAATCCCCAAGACTTCATGCAGCCATCTACGATAGGGCTGCCCAGGCTATACATCTTATTCTTGGCTGTGTTTGCTGGAATTCTTCCTCTCTTCTTCCCTTCAAGCATCAGGGCAGGAAAGAAGAGGAGTCATGGATGGAGAACTGACCTGTCTTTCCCCATGCTGCAAAGACTGCCTCCATCATGATCGAGAGGCACGCGTCATGTTCCTCTGACCGGCAGAGGAACCAACACCACATTTTCTATATCGCTCAATATGCTGAAGAAAACAGATCACTTGCAAAAAGCATTAGATTGGTTTCACTGGCCAAGCAATTGAAATTGTGAGCTGTTAAATGTCAAGAGCTGACCCCATGGGGTGGGAAGGTTGAGGTGGGATGGTGTGGTGGAGGGCAGGCTTCAGGTCATGTTTTATACTGGAAGTTTAATTGTCCTGGCAAGGATGTCAAAGTGACTCATTGAGCTGAAGTGCTTTCTATCTTCCAACACAGATTTGAAATGGGGGAGGAAAGTGCAGCAATCGTATCTTTAAAAGAATTGGCCTAGCTCACTTCAGCCCTTAACTCCTTCCAACCAGATTCATTTGTTTTGGACACCAATGTTGAAAGCAAGCCAATGATAGCAAAAAAATAGTGTCTATGTCGCCCCTTTTGAACCCACACAAACCTTTTACTGTGTGTAAGCCAGGATCTTTTTTTTTCCGAAGAAAATTGCATGTTCCTTGGTTCTTTCCGATTTTTTATTGAAGAATGTTAAATAGTTTATAGCTAGAAAGACTTATAAAATCATCACGACACAGTGTTTGTGGGGTGGTGTTATAATATATTATATAATAATCAAATGTGTTTTGATTATTCTCACAAAAACTCTCATCCCTCTCAGAGGTGAGTATTTCTAGTTTGGTATCAGGTTAATCCTGGCAGTCACCTACCCTAGGACACAGGTGCTGGATTTACCTTGCTGTAAAGGAACACCATCTGCATAGGTTGTATAATCCTTTGCTGGACAGTGGCCAATTCCCTGTGATGCTCCTTGTGTTACTGAAAATACTAAACTTTGAGCTCGAGTCCAAATCAAGTGTTGGTTGTCCAATCAATGGGGAAATTTTCGGCTAGAAGATGTTGCACATGTTTAAGGAAAGGCTGATTTTTCAATCCCCGCCTCTAAGAGTGTAAGCAGAGTTATGCAAAAGACAAATGGGATCTAGTAGTCTCCACCAAGAGGGCGTCACAGAAAGCTGATGGAGGCTGCTGACGGGCTGAGAAGGGAAAACAGTAAAGGATGAAGAGAACAAGGAAGTTTTGACTCCCAGAAAGTCTATGCTAAGGGACTCTAATGATGAAATAATTACTGCCTAAGAGATGATTCTGAAGAGCATAGAGACTTAGGGGAGGATTTTGATTGCCCAGATTCAACATAGACTAACAGGAGTGGAAAGGGGTCAATTTCCTAGAAACCCTAGAAGCAAAATTTACAGAATTCAGTAATGGAATAAAATGAGGAATAACAAAGCAGCTGAGAAGGAGAATTTCTTTCAGTCTACAAAGAGGGAAGTGTAGTGATGAGTTCTGTATTGGTCAAGGTGAACTTGGGTTACTCCTGTGAAGCTGGAGGCAGAGGGAACTTAAATTTGTAGATCCTGGGAAGGTCAATGCTAGAAGATGAGAATCAGAAATCATCACTGAGGCTGTGAACATTGAAGGCTGGGGGAAGTATGATCACAAAACCAAGAGCAGGCAGGGAAGACAAAGCTAGAACCAGTGTTCCTAGGCAGGCAGGACCAAGTGAATAGGCAGAGCCCGTCTGTCTCCTGGAAACAGCACTGAAACAGCAGCAAGATGACATAGAAGAAAGCCCCAGGAAAAAATTAGAATAGCTAAGAAGAGAGAAGCAAATGAGATACAGCAAGAACATTTTACAAGCTAGAAAACGGGGGAACGAGTGGTACATAACCAAACACCACAACCAAAAGCAAGAGTGTACTTGACAAAATCCAAGGTACAGCCAAGTGGATGGGTAATGCTATTCAGGCAGGAACAGGAACAGGAAAATAGATAGGAAATATTCAATGTTGGAGGTAACATTCCTTTGGAGATTTACATTGGTTTGGATTCAGAAAAACAAAGAAAAGACATCACATTTCCTCATCCCTTCCTCAGTTCCACACAGCCAAGAGGCATGTGTCCTGTACAGTGAGTGGGAGATTATGTAGCTGACTCTCCAGGGTGAGGAAGCTAAGACATTTTGGGCTTCGGGTCTCCAGAAAGGGCAGTGAGCATGGAGCCACACCCCAAATAAGAGGTTATGTGGAAGTCTACTAAAGAATAGTCAGCGCTTGATTCCTCTCCTTTTTGGCTTCCTGGACATGGTTGGTAATGCTCCTCATGCAGAGGTTGGATGGTGTGAGAGGGGAATGTATAGCCCAGATGAATAGACTCACAGTAATGTTAGAATCCTCTCAATTGATGACGCTATCCCCAACAATAGCGCTCAATTGTCCCATCATAGTGAAGCACACCCTTAGCAAAACACCTTGGTAATTTGAGATGTGATTTATAAACATACATATCATCAGTATTGACTTAAGACAAAGGAGCACATACTGCAACCATCATGCTCATTAAAAAGTGTAAGGTATTAAAATCACCCAGAAGGTTTGTCTGTATTCTTTCAATTATTTCAGATGGGTTCACCGTCTTTACTTCACAAAATGAATTAATTACCAGAGGTGCCAAGGGCCGTGTGAGTGATCAATCTTCAGAACCTATGAGATAAAAGAAGAAAATCAACTTTTCAGGTTCTTTTCTGACCTTCATTTGTCCACCAATGTTCATGTGCATAAATAAATAAATAAATAAATAAATAAATGTAAAAATGAAACCTAAAAACAAAAAACCTATGAGTATATATGTTTCTATATATTACTTTGTACACACATATGCACTGGTCATTCATTCATGACCAAAGAAACTATAGAAGTTACAATAAAGGGGAGCATCCAGAGAACTACAAAGGTAGAACTTAGAAACTGACAATATAATTGAAGAAAAAAAGGTAAATAAGGCAGCTGCAAGTCTTGTCTTGAGCCCCTGAGCCCCTGAACTGTCTGTCCATCAGTGATGCTAAGTCTACATTAGAGAAAATCATGCTGTGGGTGGCACAAACTATAGTTTGAAATTTTTCAGGAGTCTCCAGAAGAGCCTCTACCAACACTGTTCTTGTGCTTAGTTTTTCCTGACTTTCAGGTCAAGTGTAAAGAAAGTCCTAGACTTGGACTATATAGAATCTGAAGGCAGAGCCTACTGGGTCAAGTTCTAGAAGGTGGGTGTGCTGTTCTATGGTATAAAGCATCTCCCTTTCAGAAAATTGATTCACCAAGGAGAGAGCAGAACAGAAGTATCA